GACGGCCTCGGGGAGCCGCTACCAGTACGCGGCAGCCAGAAACTACGCTTCAACCGGGCCGCCTCACGTGCGCATGCCCGCTGGCCGAAGTCCTGTCCCTGCCAGACGTAACTATTGGGCGTGTACCAAGGAGAAGCCTCTCCGATTGGACCTGCGCCTCACTCATGGCCTAGCCACTATTGGTTAGCTCGGAGCCCGGATACTTCACCGTGTGTGTGATTGGCTACTGCGGGGTGGGCGGATACACGGAAGAGAGCGTCGCGCAGATGCAGGCGGAAGATCGTAGTCTGTGGGCATCGCGGCGGAGCTACAGCTAAGGTTAGGCGGACAGACTTTGAGGCGCAGGTTCCTGGACTCGCCTCGGCGTTCAAGGCTGCAGCCAGCCGCCGTCGAACCCCCACCCGGTCATGTGACTTCCGATTCCTCCTTTCCCATTTTTTTCCCTTATCTGTCTGCAGGTCAACCCACCACTTCGCGGGCTGGTCCCCCTCTTTTCGAAGGGTATTTGTGGTCCATCTGCTCCCCTCCCCTTCCTGATCAACCTATCCTCTGACGCCCTCTGGCGACCAGGGCGGCAGTTTCGCAGTTCCACTCGGTCTGAGTTGTAAGCTTTTTTACACAGGCCTTTGCTGTTTTCCAAGAAGCCTCTGTACACGCACTGTCCCTGTGGGTTCTGCAATCAGCCGTCTGTGCGGGACTCTAGTTAGCTCCATTTCTTAGCGGAAGAAACTGAGGCACAGACAAGTAATTAAAAACTCTGCTTGATCAAACTTCAGTTAAATGTTGGTCCTCAGAGCCCTCTTCCCAAATAGACCTCGATTTTCCCCCTTGGCCCTGTCTTCAGCCTGCCCAACCCCTCGTAGCCAAGAATCCTAAATCTTTGCAGTCCCTTGCTGTCTGATCCAACCCCTCAACCCTCACTTCTGATATGCAAATCCCAGGCTCGCTCTTAGCAAGAATCCTTTATTGCTTGCCTGTAATCCCAATTACTCAGGAGGCTGAGGCAGGAGGGTAGTCTGGACTACATAGGGAAACCCTGTCTCAAAAATCAAACAAAGGGGCCCGGGATTTAGCTCAGTGGTTCCATCGCCTGCGTCGCAAGCACAAGGACCTGAGTTCAATTCCCGGTACCAAAAAAAAATCAAAGAAAGAAACAAAAAAACAAATTCAAAGCTTAGTATTACCCTATCAAAAATCAAGAGCGGGACGCAAATTTAGCTCGGTGGTTCAACCACCTGCCTTGCCAAGTGCCAGGTTCTGAGTTCCATCTGTAGTAACAACAACAACAAAATCAAGTTATAGATGTAGCTCATTAATAGAATACTGGTTTGAATCCCCAACGCCAACAATTTTAAAACATTGTTTTGAAATGATAAAGCAATCTTTCAGGTCACTTTCAGCTTTTCACTTTGAGTCAGCTAATCTTCCTCTTTGTCCCTGTTGCGGGCTGTTTCGCTTCCAGCCCTAATCCTAGCGCTGTAACCAGTTCACAGGAAGTTTCTCTGTGCCTCCGTCCCACCGCGCTGCTTCCGGCCCATGGCGGGTGAGGTCGGCACCCCTGGAGTCAGAGGGAGGGTCTGCCTGGTTCCCCCAGTGCCCTAACGCAGTCAGCCTGGAGACAGGGAAGGGGCTGGGCAGAGACAGCCTGGGAGCCAAGAGGCTGCTGTCCTAGGACTGCGGAAGGTCTGGCTGTGTGGGTTTCCTGCCTCAGCTTCCTCTTCTCTTGCTGCCTCTGCCAGCAGGAGTCCGGGGACGGGAAGTGGAAGGTGCCAGATTCCTCAACAGTGAGACCACTTGTGGGATTTGGACTCTGAACTATGGGCGCTCAGGGGACCTGGGATTTGCCGCCCCAAAAGGAAGTGGCAGGAGATATCTGATCGAGTGATAATAACAAGGATGGCCATAATCCCAGGAACACTAATAAACAACAGTTCCTAGCCAGGAGGCAGGGCTTAGGGGTACAAGTTTAGCATTTTCTCAGCCACCTCAGGTTCTTTTTGTTAGTTTGGGTTGTTTTGTTTTGTTTGTTCATTTGTTTGTTTTCAATACAAGGTCTTGCTAAGGGGCCCATGGTGGTCTGAAACTTGCAGTGACCCTCCTGCCTCAGCCTCCCCAGTGCTGAGGTCACAGGTGTGTGCCACCACCCCAGCAATCAGGTTCTTTCAAAGTGGGACGCACACCCCTGCTTAGCAGTGAAGCGGAGAGCTGCTGGGTCTGTCCCCAAGGCTTTCTTTCACCTCTCTAGAACATCTCAGAGCTTCCCAAACCCCAGACCTGTACGTGATCAGGGCTTGCCCAGCTGAGGGGGCTTCCCCAGCAAGGGACTTTCCATGTACAAATGGGGACAGTCCTGACAAAGGGGGGCCAGTGGTCACTTTCCAGGGAGACACTAGAGCTGGCGGTTCCCCTGAGCCCACAGGCCTGTGGGGCAGGGCCTCCCCAGTTCCCACACCTGGGAAAAGCAAGCGGGCTAAAGAATAAAAGCCAAATCCTGAGTCAGGGATTTAGCTCAGTGGTTCCGGCCCCTGCCTTGCAAGTACAAGGGCCCGAGTTCAATCCCTGGTACCAAAAAGAAAAAAAAAAAAAAAAAAAAAAAAGCCAAATCCTGTGTCCCTTTGAGTGACAGGGGGTCCGGGAACAGGCAGCTCCATCCCCAAGGGAGGTACAGAGTGGGGGGACCTGCTGGGACTCTTTCCGGGAAGGTCCTGCCCCCAACTGGCCACCCTGGGAAACACACCAGCAACCACAGAGAGGAAACAGCCGCCAACATCCAGGCCTGCACACTCCACCAGAGTTCAAATTCCAGCTCTGCCTAGAGACCTCCGGCAGGCCCTGAACCTTGCTACACCTGGTTCTCCTTCTCCCTAAAACAGGGCTGTTCAGAGTCCTAAATCAGAGGTGTCTCGGACATCAGAGGAATTAAGACACATACAGAGTGCAGAACTAAAAATGAATTCAATTTAAAAAAACAACAGAAACCAGAAGCCGAGTATGGAGGCACACGCCTCCCAGACGCTAGGAGGCTGAGCTAGGAGGAGCACAAGTTCGAACCTAGGCTGGGCAATTTAACTTCCTCTTGGAGACTTGTCTCCAAAAACAAGAAAGAAAAAAACAGGCAGAGGGGAGGCAGGCTGATGTGTACATCATTGTGAAAGCCACGGGCATAATCCCTAGTGCTAAAAAAAAAACAACAAAAAATGAACAGCTTAGAATGGAGCCTGGGGTGGAAGCAGCACAATTTTGTTCATTTAATATTTCTTGATGGGGCTGGGGATTTAGCTCAGTGGTTCCGCCGCCTGCCTTGCAAGAGCAAGGGTCTGAGTTCGATCCCTGATGCCAGGAAAAAAAATTTTCATGGTTATGATTCCTTTCCACTACATAGAGATGTTTTGTGCCATTTGTTTTGAGACAGGGTCTCACCATGCAGTTCAGGCCTGGAACTCATGGTTATCCTCCTGCCTCAGCCTCCCAAATGCTGGGATTATTTTTTTCTTTAGATAGGGGACTGAACCCATGGGTACTCTATCAAGGAGCTACACTCCCGGTCCTTTTAATTTTGAGACAAGGTCTGTTGCCCAAGCTGTCCTGCAACTTGGAATACTGCCTCAGTGTCCAGAGTAGCCAAGACTATAGGCATGTGCCAAGATGCCCACAAAAGACCGTTTCTGTTGTCCAAGGAGGGAGGAACAGGGAAGTCTAGGGGACAATGGCTCAAACCAACCAGCCCCAACCACCTGCCACCTCCCAGGCATGGAGGACTTGGTTTTCAGATCGCCACTGCCCTCTAGTGGTGCTGTGAACACAAAATATCCTGGTGGCCTGGGCCTCCATCCTTGCTTTGGCAAAGGTCTGTGGCCGGCCAGCCTGCTGTGCCAGGTCCCCTCTCTGCGATGGACACGACTGGAACAAGGGATGGAGTCTGTGCCTTGGCGACACCTACAGAAACAGTGGCATCGAGCGGTGGCCCCAGGCAGGGAGTGGTGCAAGTGCTCACTGTGCTGTTAAAACCACAGGTATTGTCTTGGTTATTCATGATGTTGTTCATTCATTTGCAGTGGAGGGTATGGAACCCAGGGCCCCCAGCACCCACCACGAAGCCACACCCCCTGCCCTTTTATTTTTTGAAAATTTGATTTTTTGGGGGGGTACTGGGGATTGAATTTGGGTCTTTGCACTTGTGAGACAGGTGCTGGAAGCCCTGAGCTAAATCCCTGGCCCCTATTTCTTGAAAAATTGAGTCAGAGCCTCACTCTGCAGTTCAGGCCTGGAACTTACATTGGTCCTCCTGCCTGAGTGCTGGTTTAACAGGAGGGCACCACCACCTCCAGGACCTTCTGAGCCAGTATCTCACTAAACTGCCCAAGTCAGCCTTGAACTTTGGATCCTCCTGCCTCAGCCTCCTGAATGGAGGGAAGTACAGGCCTGAGTCAGGGCACCAGGCTCACCCTGGGAAGTTGCTAATCAGAGGGCACTGTCCTGACCAAGCTGCTTCAGGTTCCCCAGGCCATGGCCATTTTTAGGACCAGAGGAACCAAGGATCTATGACTTTTTAAACACACCACTGTACAGCACCTTCGCACTGAGCTACATCCTCAGCCTCTTTTTTGCGACAAGGGCTGGCTAAGTCGCCCAGGCTGGACTCAAACTTGCAATCCTCCTGCCGGGGCCCCCAGAGTGCTGGGATGGTAGGTGTGGGTCACCAAGCCCAGGCAGGACCTGAAGTCTTTTGATGGAATGCCATTGCTGGAAACAAAGCCACAGCCTGGGCTGTCCCTGTCCCCAGCACTCCACTGGCCCCAAGAGCATCAGAGGTCCTTTATTAGAAGATCGTGGCTGTTTCCCAGACGGCAGCCTGGACAGCAGAGGCCAGAGACAACTGAGTGATGCAGCGGCCCTGGGTGACCAGCCCCGGCTGGGGACCCTCTCTCCCCCAGGGGGCCAGCCGGCCACCCCTGCCCCTCCCCGGACCCCCGGGCCTTTGGCATAACGCTGACGCCCCCCCCCGGCCCCCCGGCCCTTTGGCATAACGCTGACGGGGGCTGCAGGCAGTGAACCCCCCCGACTCGGACTCAACTTGAAGCGGAGACGGAGACGTGGAGAGGACGGGAGGAGCATGGGGAGCGGGGCCAGAGGAGGGGAGGGAGGGGCGGGCCTGGCTGGGACAGCAGCGAAGTAGAGGAAGCCGGGGCAGGGAGATGGCGTCTGTTTCGTGTTTCTGGGCAGGGACGCACAGAGGCCTGCAGGCCGGCGGGCAAAGGCCAGGCTGGTCAGGCGCTGCCGTCCTCATCACCCGGCTTGGGCACAGCTTCCAGCAACGGGTCCCCTGGGCCCGCCGCCTCCCGCTGCTTGGGCTCACTGGCCTTGGAGTTGGGGACCCAGAGCCCCGAGTCGATGCACCGCTGCATGTGGTACTTCGCGTCCTGTGGGGACAAGGGTGGGCAGTGAGGCAGGCTGGCCACTGCCACGGGGCCCGCTGTCCCCCGCCACGACCAACCCTGTTCACGGGTCACTGTTTACCCAGCAGAGCTGGCCAGAGGAAGTGTCCACAGGGGAGGACGTGTCGTACTGGCCACCCTGCGCCACATGGCAGGGACCAGCCGCAAGGGGTGCGGTGTCCTTCCAGTGTGGCCAGGGGCTCACAGGATGGTGCCCGGAACGAACCCAGAGCCTCGTGCGTGCTAAGCACAACTTAAACCCCTAACCCTAGGAATGAAAAACCTTCAGTTGAGACAAGAGTTCCACTATGTAGCCCAGGCCAGCCCTGAACTCAAAATCTTTCTGCCTCAGCCTCCCAGGGCTAGGATTACAGGTGGCAGCCCATGCCCACTGGAATGGAACGTTTACATCTTTATTTAACCTTAATTTAAATGTCCAGGTCAGCCAACTTTGGGGGATGCAGGGCCTCACACACGCCCACAAAGCCTGGTCACTGGCTACATCCCCAGCAAACTTCCGCACAGCATGGAGAGGTCATGTTCATGGCTCTGCAAGCCAGACGTGTAGCTACCATCAGTGACTCCAATCACTACTCCTCAAGTCCGTGGCTTTGCTGTGAAACCAACTGCCGACAACACAAGCGCTGCCCAGTGCTGACAAACCTCGACTTATAAAGGCAGGCGGGCGGCCTTCCAGCTGGAGGTTGCAGACACTGGGCTAGAGGCAGTTTATCCCACAGACGCTTCCAGAAGGCCTCAGCCGCTACCCACTAACGACCACCTGCCTGTGTCTTCACTGAGGCCCATTTCACTGACCAGGAAACCACTGTGGCCAAACGGAAAGCCAGGTAGTAGGAATGGGTCAAATCAAAGCCATTTCTTTTGGGGTTTGTTTTAGTCAGGCTATTGCTATGTAGCTCAGGCTGGCCTTGAACTCACAGAGACCCTCCAGGATGCTGGGATCACAGGTGTGTGCCACCACACCCAGCTCAAAGCCTAAGACTCAATTCTAGCTGGGCAAGATGGCGCATGCCTGTAATCCTAGCACTTGGGAGGCTGAGGCAGGAGGATCGCACCAGTTCAAGGCTTCTCCTGGGCACCTTAGTGACTCAGTGAAACCTCGTCCGAAAAAAAGAAGGACCCGAGGACGTGACGTGGCTCAGTGTAGGAGCCCCAGGTTCAATTCCCAGTCCTTCCCTCAAGGCCGTCACCACTGCCCATGGCCACTCCAGCAGGGCACGTGGGGTGCGGCTGCACTCACAGCGGGGTCCATCTTGCTGACGGCATCCTGCAGCATCTGCACGTCCTTTACGTCGAAGCACTTCTGCAGCTCCTGGGGGTGCAGAGGGCAGGGTCAGGCCTGTCCCTGGGGCTGGGCTGCTCACGGCCTGCCCGCCACCCGCTGGGGCCGGAGCCACACCTCAGGCAGGGACTCGTAGACCTCGACGGGGTCCAGGCCGCCAGGGCCGAGCCGCTTCTTGCGCTCCTCTTCCTCGTACTCCTTCACGGCCTTCTCGATGCGCAGCTTGGCGCGGCCACGCACACGCTCCTTGAAGGCCTCCAGCTCATCGTTGAAGCCCTCCATGTACTGGCGGTCGGCCGTCTGCAGGGAGCGGGGCGCACACAGGACAGGGGCTCCGCGTCCGTGTGGGGACTGCACCATGGGCACCCCGAACCTGGCCTCACTTCTTGTCTCTCCCGCCCGAGACCTCGCCTACAGCCAAGGGCCACAGACCACCCCGCCCTGTCTGCAGCGCCCTCAGGCGCAGCCCGGCTCAGGGGGCTCTGACTCCCTCCTGCCCCGCCTGCCCGGTCTCCTCAGTCTCAGGAAGGGGAGCTGCATGACTCTGAGTGCCCAGCTCCACAACCCTGCAGGCCTCCTTCACCCAGCCCCACGCCCCACACAGAGGCTTCTCCCGTCCCCCACACCCGAGCTGTCCTGACGCTGCGGAGGGCCCCACCTTGATCTTCGTGAAGAACTGCCGGAAACAGGCGCGGGGGTCCACCTTGAGGCTCTTGGCCAGCTCCAGGATGAACTGCATCACGATGGTCTGGTGAGCCACCTGCTCCATGAGCGCGCACTTCTGCCAGGGGACAGAGGCGCAGTGTCACCGAGGGGCGGCGCCGGGCCAGCACTCACCCAGCCCGGCGGGCTCCGCTCACCTCCTCCACCTCCAGGTCGATGCACCAGATCACCAGGTAGTTGGCGGTCTCCTCGCACACCAGGTGCACGTTCTCCGACAGGTACTTCTGGCTGTCGTCCCAGCGGCGGAGCATCCCTGCGGGAAGGGGTTGGGGAGGTGCTGGCGGTGCCGCAGCTCCCAGCCGCCCTCACCTGGCCCCGGCGCCAGGCCACTCACCGAAGTGCTTGATCTGCTTCTCGTATTTCTCCACGAAGGTTTTGTGTTTCTGCTCCCTGACCTCCTCCGACTCCTCCTCCGCCTTCTCAGGCTTGGTATTGACCATGCTCTGCGAGAGGGCGACAGGGGAAGTGGGCTGGGGCAAGGCCACAGGGCGCCTGGGGGCGCGAGGGGGCCGAGGCCGCCGCGCCCATCCCATCCACAGTGGAGGCCGGCTGGGTGGCAGCACCGAGAGCGTCGACGTGGCAGAAGCACGGGCCTTGGGGCAGATCAGAGGGGACAGTGGGGCTGGGGCCTGCGTCTGCCCAGTCCCCACACTGTCCTCCCCCGCCCCGCCCCACTGCTTTAGCCTATGTGCTGCCGAAATGAGCACTTCTTTTGGTATTTTTCTGGTTTTTTTTTTTTTTTTTTTTTT